AAAAAATATTGTATTTGATCCAAAGAATGATCCAGATGTTGATTTTACAGGTAGCATAGCCAATAGGTGAACAGGTATTAGAATTGAAGTGTAATTGGTCAGGTAGCCTACATAAACAAAAATAAGTATAATTTTTATAATTAGTTTCTTTTGTTGCTTTGATTTAATTGAGGTGAGGGTTTGGTATAAAGTAGTTTAAGTCTTTGTTATTGTTTTCAGTTAGCAAAATTTATACAGTATAGAATCTATATTTGTTTATAAGAAAGTTTATTAACTTTAAACAGAATAGCAATAATTGTTTATAAGGCTAGTTTGTATGAATATAAAGAAATTCTTATATATAATAGATTTAAACTGTATAACTTTTATACATATTTTTTTTATTTCTATTCTATTTAATTTAGTTTCTACTAATTTTTTTCTACTATTTACATCTTTATTTCTACTATATTAATACTTTTTTCTTTATCAAACTTCATTGTTTAAACTAACAAATATATAAACAAATATAGATTCTTTACTGTATTTCATATTTTATATAACCTTATACTATATTATCTATTAATTCATTTTATAGCTTTTCTTCTAGTCTGATTTTATCTTCTATTTTAATCACAAATATTATTACTAAAATTAATCTTTGGACTATCTAATATATTAAATCTTATACTTTTTTTTTTCTATATTATTACTTACACCCAAATTTAGATGAGTCTTAACTATTCTTGTTGATTTATATGCATGAGTTTTTATTTTTCATATGCAATTTAAAAGCAAGTTTTTTTGGTAAAAAAGTTTATTTAAATTTCAATAAAGTTAAAGGTATAGTCTTATCTTTAATATTAAAAAAAATAAATAACTAATAATACAATCTACTAAAATAATGAAGAGTACACTTAATAAATATACAGATTTATTTCATTTCATAATATCAAAACAAATAATAATATTATACTAAATAACAATAAAAAGAATTTGATATTTGATATAAAACAATTTTATTAAATTTATAAGAAAATGAAGTTTGATTTCTTTCTTTTTTAAGACCAAGACTCAAGCCTTTAAAACATAATTCAATATATAAAACAATACATTACACAATTAACAGATTAATTTTTTTTTTACATGTTACTACTCATTTTTTATAAATTCCTTCTACCTGTAATGTATATTAAGAAACTCTTATGAAAACATTTTTTCATTATTACTATAATCACTTTCTCCTGCTGTGATGTATTTTAATAACAAGTAATGATCTTATGTTCAATAAAGTTATTAATTATCTCAGATAAACCTTCTCTTGTTACTAGCCAATTTCAACATTACAGCTATTTATTAAAACCAATAATATAATTCATCAAAATCATAAAACTTGACCTATTTTAGAAGGAACTAATTTAATTCGTAGTTTTAAACGTTGAATGACTTCACGTCTCTAGTCCATGTATAGATAATTATATATGTAATAATTATGCTAGGAAATTGATATTATGCTAAGTTATACAAGGAAGAAAAGAAATGTGGTTGTACGGTTAACGGTTTATAACATGTGACCGACGTATCGGTATGGCACAGAAATTTTCTCGTGTAAGATAATGACACTGTGTAACAACAATTTTTATAAAAAAAAAATAAACCCAACTCGACCTCGAAACAATTACAGGGCAATGTGATGATTCCGTATCCGGAAAACTCTTCCTGCGCCCGGTGCTTTCCCACTCAAGCTTAAGAGTGGGTTTAAGATTAAGGTAGGACGACAGCTTAAAATAAAATTTACAGGAATTTTTTTGTTAAAACCCGAAAGGTGGGTTCATAATAATATATAATATTACATTACATTGGATCTTGTACACTGATTGGTTTTCTATCACCCAAGTAGAAATTACCATTTATTATACATTAGGGAATGGTGCCTTGATTTGTTAATAATATTGGAATAAGAAATGAAATCAAGAACGAGCATAAAATTCAGGCCAAAACCTTAACTAGGTATTATAAAGAGGAAACGCAATTCTTATGCCGCTAATCTAAATGTAATATAGATACCTTTATTCTAATAAAAAGGTTCTTAAGCCTAAACTATCTTTTTTAGGATAAAAAAGAGAAACTCAATCGAACTCATCATCATCAGAAATAGTAAAATTCATTGCAGAATCTTCATCATAATATCCAGTTGATATTGTTGTTAGCGGTACTGAAACTAAAAAATCATCAACTTCATTAGAGTGTTTGTCGTAAATGTCCTGATCATCAATTTCTGATAAATCTTCTTCTTCATTTACATTAATCCAATCTTCAAGGTTCTCAGCATTTTTCGTAACAGCACGATACCATTCATCTTCCGACTTTCCATTCAAAATTATAATAATTATAATCGACATGTCATCTACACAAATACGCTTTTCAGTTATAGTATCACATAATCCAATCATTCCGTCACAGGCTTTAACAAATCGGTCCGGATCTCCTTTGTGCTTTTTTAGAAAACTTAAATAAACCTCTGTGGGATGTTTTTTATATATTTTGAAACGATCCGTGATGCCTAATTATTTATAATAATTTAAATCATTAGATAAAGAGATTATATAGATATAGAAGAGCTGTAAATCATACCATCAGAAGCAAGCACAAGTAAATCAAGGCTGGATGCCGGATAAACATCATCAATTATCTCAGGTTCAGCTATTAATATTAAGTTTTGGATTAACAAATGTATATTATAATTAAGACAAATACAGGTGAAAGAAAAAATATTTCAGCACTCTTTAAGTCTAATTAAAAAAAGATCAATAGTTATATAATAAACATGCAATGCTTAAAATATTTTATTCACCCTCTTATATGCAATATATAAATTAATAATACCAATTAGACCTTCTGAAAAAAAACTTTTGATATAAAAATCGCTTAAAGAGCGAGTATATTGTATTTCATTAGATAAATCATCTTTTACTTTAATAAAAAATTTATTAAGTTAATAATTGGCGTATATCAAATATAATAGAAATATTGAAATGCTTGCCTCTCAAATACTTGTGACCAGAACGTGCTTTTATAGTATACATGAAACCCCTTGGTCTTTGGGCTCTAAGTCTCTGCAGTTCATCTAAAATAATTAAAATAGTAGTTAATTATTAAATGTTAACTGTAGCTCGTAACAAGAAACATTTGACTATTAGGTCAATTACATACTTTTATTGTGACAATTATGCTCTATATTAACTTTTTTTGATTTATTCGATGACATAATAAATACAGAAGAGTCACCAGCAAATGCCTGATTATTTCAAAGAAAAAAAATCAATATCGGAGTGTTAATAATAATAACAATAATATTGATATTCTTACAATATATAAATTTTTTTTAGGCGTCATCATAACTGTTAATGCCGTTGTGCCGGACATTCGAACTTTATTTCCTCTTATACCTTTAACGTCGAGTGTTTTAAAATAGTTTTCAGTATCATCATATCCTTTTTTTATAGCATTTTTAATCATTTCCTCATTTTCAACCGTTGGTAATAATTCATATAAATGGTTGGCAATATGTTTTGGCAAATATTTAGCACAATCTGCAGAAATCTGATCGCCTTTTTCTATTTATAAAAAAAATCATTAATTCGCTCTTTTATTTAAATGTGAATTTTTGGAAGATAATATTATTTAATACCTCCATGACCATCATACACTCCAAATAAATAATATCCTTTCAGTTTTTTACCTAATCCAAATTCAATAGACATTCCATCTTGATTTTCTAAATTTTTACGTATTGATTATGAATTAAAATTCTTTATTCTACTATAGACATTTAATAATAGATTTACCTCCTCTTAAACCCGCCTTAGTAAATGAAATTACATGAAGGCCATCATACTTCCAATATTTTTTTGAAAATTTTATTCTTTTATTTCCCACGTCAAGTATTGGTCGAACCATTTATTTTTAAAATTTTATTAAAAGGTAAATGTCTAAATGAATGTCCGGAAGCACTATATTTTATAACTCTTTCCTTATTTTTTGTGTACTTATAAACCTATTAATGATTCGTTAATTAGTGCTAAATTTTGTTGAAAGAAAGTTTGCTGTACGAAAATTTTTTCATATTGTACTTACGCTTAGCTTCGAATGCAAAAGATTTTAGTTTGATTTGTTCAACTCGTCTTATTAAAAACAGATACAGACTTGCACAAAATTCCTTAATTAGCAGTGATTATCGGAGTGATGGTTGCTCGGGAATTTCGGTTGTTATACCGATTCTTTTTGTACAACTAGACCTGAAATAATACGTATACTGTCTAACCAAATCGCAAACTATTTATTGTCCATACCTGAACGTTATTTAATTTATCAAATGGAATCTATTCAATGACATTCTCATATCTTGTAGCATTAAATTGAAAATTTTAATATAAACATCAATTCTTTGATCTCCACTTGCCCATTTTTGAACTTTTCTAGGAAGGTCAGAAGTATTATGACGCACATAGTCCTTTAGAACTTTTTTTATTATTGAATTCATCAAATACTAACATATATTCATTGTTCATGTTTTAGTCAGTCCATGGTACTATCATCCACACGTTTTGAAAATATAAATAGATGTTATTTAATTATTCACTGTTAATAAAATAAAGTACCAACCTACTTTTAAAAAGTTTAAAACCAGGAAGAGTTTTAACTACACTCTATATGATGGTGTATCTATCATGCTAACCTGAAATCGTTCGTATACCGTCTAACCATATTGCTGATAGTTTTCATCAATTTTTGAATGTTACTTAATCTAAAAGGAATCTACTATATTACATTCATGTTCCTTGTAGTTTTAAATTGACATTTCTTTATGCAGCTATCAAATATTTTGTTCCCACTTGTCCATCCTTGGCTTTTCTCTGAGGACCGCATGCCGAGCTCCGGAGTCTTTTTAGAATTATACTGTTTATTACAATTTTATATTCTCCATATTTATTAATTTCTCTTATAATTGCATATAGCACTGCATATTCGTTGGTTGTCGGTTTTTAAGTTAATCCGCAGATTTTCAGTTCCGCTCACTTCAACACTTATTCCGTAGATAACATTTCGCCGACAAGTTCATTTCACTGGCAGTTTATTTCACCGAAGCTCATTTCATTGACAAAATAATTCTGCTCATT